GTCAGTGTTCCAGACCATATAAGAATCTAAAGAGTCCAAAGACTAAAAGCCTTTCATAGACGTAAACACATCTTCAGAGGTCGACTTCTGACCCCTCGTGCAACCGTTGCACAGACATGCTAAGCTCGTTGGAGTTCACATGAAACAGTAATCCCAGCAACAGAACGAGCACAACCACTAGATGAACAGATAGAATTAAACATAAGGCGCTGGGTGTGTTTCCATGCCGGCTTCGTTCAGCCTGTTGCTCTCCGTCTTCAGGACTTCGGCAGAGGATGGACGTCGCGCTGTGACTTCTTTACAAACCTGCTGAAGAGAGGCTGCGAGAACCGCTTCGTCGAGTTCCCCAGCAGCAGGACCTCCATCCTGGAGAGCCGGCCCCTGAGCTCCAAGGGCTCTGGGTCGGCCCAGTACGACGTGGTCCAGATCATGCCTCAGAAGATCTCCCTGAGCTTGCGGCCAGGTAAGAGTCCGTCAGAGCGCCGGCCGGCGGAGGCTGCTGCAGCACAGCTAACACGTGTTCCCCGCAGGAGGCCAGACGTGGTTCGGGCTGCAGGTCCGGCAGGTGGAGGACTACCCGGTGGACCTGTACTACCTGATGGACCTGTCTCTGTCCATGAAGGACGACCTGGACACCATCCGGAACCTGGGCACCAAGCTGGCCCAGGAGATGGGGAAGCTCACCAGCAACTTCCGGCTGGGCTTCGGCTCCTTCGTGGACAAGAACATGTCGCCGTTCTCCTACACGGCAGAGAAGTACCAGGAGAACCCCTGCAACGGGTGGGTGGAGCTGTTCTTTATGGCTTTTATTAATAACGACACCATGAAGACGACTGGGTTTTACCCTCTGAACGACTAAACCTGCCAGTCGGTTGATGAGGCTCGCTGTTATTTTTAAAAATCATCAAAATTACAATTTGTCAGAGAACTAATCATCTATGACGTGCAGTTCATTCTGGAAATTAACCAGAATGAGCTCAGAACCGTGATATTTCATCAAAATGACTTAATTCAAGGTGTCTTATTTCCAAAACCATCAGAAACAAACTGTTTGCTTTCACCAGATTTTGTAAAAAGCTAAAAACTGTGGAACCAACACCGACTGTCATGGAAGAGTCTTCGGCTGAGCTGCAGGCGGTGTTTCAGAGAGCAGAGAGGAGACGAGAGTTGATGTAAATAGTTAAATATTCACTATTTTATTCCAGTATCGGTAACATCCAGGCACACTGACAGACCTGCTGGACGTGATGCTGTCAGGTGTCTCCAAAACAAGTAGTCAAAGAAATTCAGCTTTGGTTTTTCTTCTCTGTGGTCTCCATCGTTCTGCTGACAGAAGACGTCTCTGAGTTCTCTCTCCTCCTCCTTCATGTTCTGGTTCCACAGAGCTGCAGGACTTTAGTGGAACATGAAGCTCAGTGAAGGAACAGAGACGGAAACTGCTCAGAGTTCAGAAGGTTAAATGGGACATTTTAAAACGTCCAACAAAATCCACGTCAAACAGAGAAAATCGGTGTTCAGTGATGTTAAACGAGCTCTGTGCAGATTAGAATGTGAGAAATGAATCTGTTGAACTGCAGCAGAAGAACATTTCTCACACGTCAGGACTGATTCTGGTGTTCTGGCCACCGTCAGAGAACCGACTAAGTCTGGAGCTGAACTCGACTTAATCCTGCTGGCTTAGCAAACGTTCACATCGAGGACTTTAAACTACAGATGAGTGAATGTGTGACGGGAGCAGCTTGGATTGAGCTGTGATGATGATTTCACCGTCGGCTGGATGTGAGGTGGAGCCCGGCAGCTTTGAGGGGAAATCCTGACTTAATAATTTAACCTGAGCCTATTTCTGCCCGTTCATGAATCATGCAGACTGCAGTGAGGTTCGACAGAGCGGCGGCCGAGCAGCTGAGGCTGACAGCGTGGTGCTGTTTGCCCCGAAGGTGAGGCTCCCCCACCATCACGCATCACTTCCCTTCTGGGTCAGATCCGGCCCAGAACAGCGGAGCGTGTCGGGATAATGAAGGATAGATGACAGCGCGTTGACCTCGGCTGCCTTCGGTCGCTGCTCAGCCTGTTTCATGAACGTCCACATCAGCAGCGACTGGTTTTACCTTTGAGACGGTTTAAACGAACCACCGGGACTCACCGCTCCATCGTTAAGCCTCTGGACTCACTCAGCTCATTTGTTTCTACAGTATAAAGTCCTGCACATCATTTATGATAATCCTTCTTAAAGCAGCAGGATTAGGCTGATTGTAGTTCCTGGTTTTGTCAGTTCTGAATCCTACATTATAAACTGCAGGGAGCTCGTTTGCCATCACCGGTTTTCTTTCAGTTTGACGTGAACATCTTTGGATTCAGATCCGTCACTTGGACTGAAACACGATTTAAAACGTCACATTTGATCCTCTGAACCCTCGAGCAGCTTCTGGGTTTTTTTTGCTCCTTGTTTTTGCACATTTTTTCCTCCGTGTGGCTCATTTTTATCTCCACTATAAAGTCTTGCACATCCTTTATGGTCATGGTTCCTGAAGCAGGCAGGATTAAGAGGATTGGAGCTCCACAGTTTGTTGCTTCTCCTTTGAAATGCAGCTTAACACGTCAGAAACTTTGGTCGGCTGTCGCTTCAGTCTGATTTCCATTTTATTAACTTTAATATATTCACTGATTTCCTCTGTTTGACATGAATGTCTTTGGATTTTGGTCTGTTTGGACTAAATGAGACATTTAATGACCCACTTAATCCTCTGAACGTGGTT